TCGTTCTTTTTTTTATTTATTTATTATTTATTTTAGAGAGAGAGGGACAGAGATTGCGAGCACACAAGTGGGGAGAGGGACAGCAGAGGAGGAAGAGGGACAAGCAGACTCCACACTGAGCACAAGCCCAATGCAGGGCTCAATTTCACCACCTGGAGATCATGTCCTGAGCCAATATCAAGAGTCAGGCGCTTAACCAACTGAGCCATCCAGGCACCTCAAGACTATTTTTTTAAAGAGAGTTTTAAGTTCACAACAAAATTGAGAAGAAGGAACAGAGATTTCCCATATACCTCCTGCCCTCATGCAGTCACAGCTTCCCCTGTTATCAACATCCCCATCAGAGTGATATATTTGTTACAAGGGATGAACCTTCAGTGACACATAGTTAATGTCCATAGTTTACATTAGCATTCACTCTTGCTTTTGTATATTTTATGGGTTTGGACAAATGTATAATCATATATGTACATCAGTATAGTACCATACAGAGTATTTTCACTACCTTAAACATCTCCTGTGTTTTGCCTGTTCATCCCTGTCCTCACCCTAATCCCTGGCAACCACTGATCTTTTTACTGTCTTTATAATTTTGCCCATTCTAGAATGTCATATACTGGGAATCACAGTATGAGTGGCCTTTTCAGATGACTTCTTTCACATAGTAATATGCATTTAAGGTTCTTCCATATCTTTTCATGGCCTGAGAGATTATTTCTTTTTTTTTTTGTGCTGTATAATATTCCATTGTCTGGATATACCACAGTTTATCCATTCACCTAAAGAAGGACATCTTGGTTGCTTGCAGGTTTTGGCAATTATGAGTTAAGTTGCTACAGACATCAAATCACTTGGTTAAATATTAAAGAGCATGATTACTAGATCATATGATAGGAGTATGTTCAGTTTTGTAAGAAACCACCAAACTCTCTTCCACAGTGGCTGTACTATTTGCATTCCCACCAGCAATGAATGAGAGTCTTGGTTGCTCTACATTCTCTTCGGCGTTTGGTGTTGTTAGTATTCTGGATTTTACCATTCTGATAGGTGTATAGTGGTTAAAAGGAGAGTTTTCATTAAAAAAAAAAAAGCCAAGTTGTGTTATATGACAATTCCTTTCTAAAATAAAATAGGATGCAATATGTACTTGTTCTTTCTTTCATTTTTCCTGGCTCATAACCTTCTCTCTTGTTTCTCCTTGTCAAGCTTTTCCAAGGTTTGATCTTACCTCCTATCCCTCTCTTCTTACCATACTACTCTCTTATTCTATTACTGTTGTTTTACCAGCAATAGTTAATAAGATATTAATATTTATTAAGATATTTTTTTGTTTTACATATTCCTTGTCCTAGGTGAAGTCACATGGCTGTATCCAGAGGTAAATGTTAGAAAGACTGGGTAAAGACAAGAAGGAAATTACCAGAGACTGACCAAAATTATATTCTGTGGGTCTGCTTGTAATATCCAGGGAGTCAGAATGGAATAGGTTTGTCCAAGGTATGAGGTAAAATTGCAAATGAAGTGAAAACAGTATATGCGGTCCTAGTATGTTAGGATAAAGATTATAAGTCAGTAAGTCATGGAATCCATGGAATAAAAACGACAAAGGGAGAATCAGAAATGACATCTGTAACTGGGATATTAATTTTTTTGTTCTCTGCATATAAAAGATAATTGAACACTTGTGTGTGGTGTGAGAGAGTCAGTGAAGAATAATGGCATGAGGGTTTTCAAGAGGATGATCATGGGGCAGTAACTAACTGGAAATGAAAGACTAAGATATTTTTGTAAATATTGAGCAATTTAAAAACAACAGGAAAGGAAAGTTTAAATAACTTTAAAAAGACAATTGATTACTTACAGTTTTTAAAGATGAGAGAGGATAGAGTCCAAAACAGAGGTGGAAGCATCAGCCTTAGGGAAGAGGAGAGGCAGGTCCTCTACTTAATAGCATAAAGTGAAAAAAGCATATGTACAGATGGGGGTAGGTTGGAATGTTTTATATAAAGAAAATTAGGAAGTTTCCATTTGATGGTTTTAATTTCTTTAAAATAGAAGTCAAGGTCACTTAGAATAAACAGGATAAGGTTAGTCCAATGTTTGAAAAAGTAGTAGAGAAGTTTCAAGATAATTGTGGGGAATCTAAAAGTGAGTTATCAGAGAATCAGAGAGATGTGGCAGTGTTGAGGGCTCATTTGAAATTGTTACCTCTCAATTCACAGTGGAATTAATATATTGTCTAATGAGACATTTTCCAGTGGTTTTGGAATAATCAGTGTAGGCTCAGAGCAAACAGATGTTTAGGTTCATTCAGGGCAGGGGTTTGGGTAGATTTGTCCAATTAAAAATTAAGGCAAATGCATTTAGTTTTGCAAGAGGGTTACTGAAATGATGTACCATGAAATCTAAGTAGGAAAGGAACAAAGGGACCACCAAAATAGGTGGTGTTTTTGTTGAAGAAAAAATAAATAAGCAAGTTGAAAAGAGAGTACTTGGTATTCAAAGTGAAATGTCTAGTTGTTATACATGTTGACAAGAGCCAAAGTGTGATGGTAAGAGTTGCTGAAATAGAGGAAAAGACAAACATTGGAGGTGAATGGTTTGAGGCCATTGGATTGAACATACCATTCATGGGCACATTTAAGTCACCAATTTATGAAGAAAAACAATGTATCAATTTATGACATGGACAATTTATGAAGAATCAGCTTATGAAGAAAAAGTAAGATGAATGCTTTCAGAATTATGATTTTTATTAAATGAAACAAGATATCCTTTATTCACATATTCAGAATAATTGTAGAAATTAAATATCTTGGTTAAGTATAATATTTGTATCAGAATGTCACAATATATATGTATATATGTATTTGTCTACATATATATATCTAATATATATATATAATAATGTAAAGTCACATTCAAAGCACAAGTGATGCCTTTATCTGTTTTATTGCCATTCAGATATCACTGAGAGAAATCATCACCTTGAACTGCTTCACTAAAATCTAACAAAACCTGTGTTATACACATTATTATGGAAAGATTTAAGTAAATAAGTCTTGATTTTCTTGGTGATTATGAGTCCTGAAAACCTAAGATATTTTAAGACTTACCTTTCATGGACACCTGGGTGGCTCAGTTGGTTAAGCGGCTGCCTTCGGCCCAGGTCATGATTCCAGGGTCCTGGGATCGGGTCCCACATCGGGCTCCTTGCTCAGCGGGGAACCTGCTTCTCCCTCTCTCTCCCTCTGCTTGTGCTCTCTCTGTCAAATAAATAAAATCTTAAAAAAAAAAAAAGACTTACCTTTCATAATGAGATCCATTTGGTTTAATGTTAAGTGAAGAAACCCAATTACAAATTAGTATAGACAGCATACATAAATGCTATACCTTGGTTTGATATTTTTCCTTTTTTTCCTACCTAGGTCATATGTGGTATGAATGTATGTCTTCCTAATTCTTAAAGAAGTAAAATTTGGAGCCCATATGAGAAAAATGATAGTTATGTATATAATAGAATAGAATAAGAATTATTAGCATTTCATAATATTCTGAAAAACTGATTTATGACCCCAAATTATCTATATTTAGATACTTAATTAGTCATTTATTGTAATTTCTAGTGCCATCTGTAGACTCATAAATATGGGCTAAGTTTGTTTTTTTTTAAATAGTGTGGATCCTTATTTACAATATTTTGTTTTAAAAAGGAGCAAGGATTTTTAGAGCATAAGAAACGCATTTCGCTTTATTCAGTCATTGGTAAGCCAGTATTTCAGATGCTTTAGGTTCAAAGTTTAATTTTGCAAGAGACTTGCTTTGATTGTGACACTTGAGCAAGTTTCTTTCTGCCAGTCTCCTCACTTGAAAAACGGGGAAAATAACATTGACCTCATGGAAACTGAAAAAGCCAGTGAAAGCAGTAGCTATTCACAATTGCAGTGGCAAGAAAAGCTCTTGATCTAAAGTGTTTAAGATCAGAACATCTGGGTCATGATCTGGATGATGTGTTAATGCCACACAACCATAGGGTATAATCAAAGACTTTTTTTAACTTAATAGAAAACAGAACTCTTCCATGAACTGTGGAAGGAAAATATGACCTGTTTAAACAACCTGTGCAAATATAAGGTGACATTTTATATTATAGGGAAATTTTACTAAGCCTTGGCCACATCTTTCATTTAGAGTAATTATTCATGCCCCTCATATACATGATGTAAATGGCCCCTTTTCACTGTAACATGGAAAAACAGAAAGATTGTTTGTTACATCTGTTATAGCTCATTGCCCAATGTCTTTTTTTCTGACCAGTCTCATAATTGATTTATATTATTAATAATCAGTTAATTTTGTGAGGTACAGAGACAACAAATGAATTAAGCACATACAGTATTGTGGGAATCCTCATTGGATAATAGCAGAACAAACTATTTGATAAACATTTTTTATCACTATTTTATCATTTTTAAAGAGAATATGGGATGGGATACCTGGTTAAGTGCTCATTTGGTTAAGTGCTCTCAGCTCAGGTCTTGATCTCAGGGTCATGAGTTCAAGCCCCACATTGGGCTCCATG